AGGAAGGATGAGTAACTCTAAAACCGCCCACTGAAGTATTTGAGGAAGGGATCCTTCAATGGCGGAACACTCTAATAGCTCAGTTCATTGGACGAATTCCAAATTTCAGTCTTTTTCAGAAGATGGTAAATACACTTTGGGAAAAGATAGTTTAATTGAGATAAAACAAACTGGAATAAATTTGTGTGTGATTCAGTTCTCGAATGCTGAAGCTAGGGACTGGGTATTGGAGCATGGGCCATGGCATATACAGACTAAACCATTGATCGTACGGAAGTGGAACCTGACATGAAATCTCTAGAGTTTAATATGAAAAAACTACTTGTTTGGGTTCATTTGGGCAACATTCCTCTGGAGTTTTATACAAAGAAGGGATTGAGCTATATTGCTAGTGCTCTAGGGAACCCGCTGTACATGGACACTATAACAGTGAGTTTATGCCAAAATTTGCATTGAGATGAAGGCCAGCCTGAAAGTTCCACGTAGTTTATTGATGTGGAATTAAGGGATGGATCTCTTGTATCAGTCTCAGTGGAAGCGCCATGGATGCCTCAAAGGTGTCATCAATGTTGTATTTTTGGACATGCTGATAAATACTGCTCACAGAAACCTGTTAAGGAAGTTGGAAAAGTATGGGTACTTAAGAAGAGAGAGGACAAGATTAGTGCCTCAGTCCAGGAAGTAATGAAGGCAGAGGAGGAAGTACAACCAGCTAGCATTGAAAGTAAGGCTAACCACCTTACTACTAAATTTGCCATTTTAGAATCAATTGCACATCTGGACAGGGTAGAAGAGGAAGTAAAGGATCAGGACGAGGAGGACCTGATTCCTCATTCACCAAATAAGCAGAGGGCAGCAGCAGTGGGAGTAGCAGATATGATGAAAGCTATGAAAAATAAAAAGAAAGGTGCTATCAATAAAGGGAAGAAACAGGTGAAGGCTGGTATTGTAGCATCAGGTAGTCAAACTTCTTGCTCTTCTTCATGAACATATTAGTATAGAATACTAGAGGATTTAGTGATCTTCAAAAGCAAAAGGAAGCAGTAGATAAAATAAAAAGGCTAAATGTAAATATTGTGAGCCTAATAGAGACTAGAGTTAAAAGGCATAAGATGCAGCCTATTCTTGACAAGCACTTTAATGGATGGGGTGTCGTTCATAATTATTCAGAAAACAATAATGGAAGGATCGGGTGATTTGGAAAGCTCATGTACAGGTTGATCTACTGGAAATCACAGACCAGTGCATCACTAGTAAAGTACTGGTTGAATCAAAGAAATTTTATTTCTCAGCCATATATGGAAGCAACGATGGCATTCAAAGAAGAAGATTATGGTCGCACTTGTCTGCCCTCAATGGAATTATTTCAAATTGCCCTTGGATATTAGCTGGAGACTTCAATGTTATTAGATATCCTGCTGAGAGTTTAGACTATAATGGCACTCAAGTAGCTAGTCCAAAAATGAAAGAGTTTCAAAGTTGTTTGAGTCAAGTGGCATTAACTGATCATGCTATAACAGGGCCTCGTTTTACTTGGTCCAATCATCAGCCTGAAGGACACTTGGCTAGAAAGTTGGATAGAATGCTTATAAATGACGCTTGGCACATTAACTAGGCTTATTCACATGTGCAGTTTTTGGAGCTAGAAGTATCCGATCACTGTGCTGCAATCATTAGTATGCCTAGACTCTCACCCTCTAAGCCATTCAAGTTTTTCAACTATTGGACTGGTAATCCAAGGTTCAAGCAGATTGTAGAGAATTCATGGAAAGTGCCTGTAACAAGGAATCCAATGCTCAAATTGCATAAAAAGTTAAAAAGGTTGAAACCATAGTTGAGGAAGTTTAACATGCTATAATATGGGGAACTGTCTGGAATAGTGCAAGCTAAAAGGTGGGAACTAGACTCGGTACAGAATGCATTATTATCTCAAACTCCAACAGCTGACATGATCAAGTTGGAAAGAACTTCGTTCTTAGAGCTTAAAGCACTAAAGGAAGTGGAAGAGAGTTACTATAGGCAAAAGTCCAGAATAAGGTGGATACAAGAAGGCGATCAGAATACTAGTTTTCAGAGGATGGTAGCGGCTAAGGCAAATAAGAATACTACCAAAGTTTTAATTGATGAATACGGGAATACGCTAGACTCCTACATACAAATCTCTCAACAAGCTGTCTCATTCTTCCAAAAGCTTATTGGTACAGCAGATCTAAATGTTAATGGCTGCCCACATGATCTGTTAACTGAGTTGCTTTCAGTTTCCTTAGCTTCTAAGGCACAGGAAAAGCCCCTAGACGAGATGGATATAAGGCTTACTTTTTCAAACAAACATGGTCCATTGTTAGTGAAGATGTATATGGAGCTATATTGCAAATTTTCTCGACTGGCGAGCTACGACCTCCATTCAACCCAACGATTGTTGCATTGGCGCCTAAAAGAGCAAATCCTAGTAACATGAAAGACTTAGCCTGTTTCTTGCTGTACTACAATATACAAATGCATCACTAGGATTTTAGCAAATAGGCTCAAGCAGTTTCTGCTAGAATAATCAGCAAAAACCAAAGTGCCTTCATTAAAGGAAGAAGCATTACAGATAATATTCTAATGGCTCAAGAGATGGTCAAGGGCTATGGCAGAACAACCTTATCACAAGATGCGTAATAAAGGTAGATCTTCAAAAGGCTTTTGACTCACTGGATTGGGGATTCATACTTGCTGTTTTACAAGCTATAGGACTGCCAACAGAGTTTATAGGTTGGATCAGGGGTTGTATTACCACACCTTGGTTTTCGCTGTCCATTAACAGGCTATTTGCATGGAGCAAGACGAATAAGGCAAGGAGACCCTCTCTCACCTTATCTAGGCTAATTGATGCTGCTGCAAAATATGGAGTGTTTAACTACCACCCGAAGTGTAACAAGGTTAACTTGACGCATCTTTGTTTCGCAGATGATTTACTAATATTTGCAAAGGGTAAGTTAGATTCTGTTATTGGTGTAAAGGAGGTGCTAAAGGTGTTTTACACCTTTTTTGGCCTACAGCTTAATTGTGAGACAAGGGAGTTATATTCAACAGGAATTAATAGAGAGGAGCTCGGTACAATACAATAGGTTTCTAGTTTTAAAATTGGATTGCTACCTGTTAGATACTTGGGGGGTACCTTTGGTTACCAGGGGGTTCAATGAAAGAGATTGCGCGCCACCAATGGAAAAGATCGCAGCCAGGATTAAAAGTTGGGCAGCTAGGCATTTGCCTCACGTTGGAAGGTTGCAACTAATCCAGTCCGTGCACATTAGTATACATAAGGATGACAATAGGTTGGGATAAGTTTTTGATCGTCTCAAATTGAGACCCAACTTAATTTTATACTCATAATATTTTATTCGCTTATTTTTTATATTTTTTGTATTGAACTTTACCCAATTTGATTTGATATTATAAAAAATTATATTCGATTCGAAATTAATAAAATATTATTTTTAAATTTAAATATAAAATTAAATAAATAATTAAAACATAATTTTATATATATATATATATATTTATATATATATATGTATACTGGATCAGATATTTGCTTAAAATTTAATCTGACTCAACTCAAAACCTAATTTTCAAAAAAAAAAAACAAAAAGATTTAAGTCGGGTCGAATCCTAACATTGGTTGTACTGCCGTCCCTAAGTATACAAAACTATTAGTGCAGGCAATTCATTATACCAAGGCATGTGCTTAAGAAGATAAATCAACTATGCTCCAGTTTATTCTGGAAAGGGAAAGAAGGGTCAGCAAGGGGAGCTAGAGTGAGCTGGCGAGCAATTTGTTTCCCTAAATCTGAGGGAGGACTTGGTCTCAAAGATATACTATCTTAGAACCAGGCTTGCCTCATGAATAATATACGGGACATTTTTGTTAAAGCTGGTTCAATATGGATAGCATGGCTTGAAGCTTATGTTTTGAAGGGGAGGAGCATCTGGCAAGTTTCAGAACAACAAAACAGTAGCTGGAACTGGAGGACGCTACTTCGGCTTAGACAAATTGCACGGTAATTTATAAAAACAGAGAATGGCGTTGAGATCTGGCCTTTGCCAAGCAACAACTTCTCAGCTACTATAGTATGGAATGCAATCAGGCTTAAACAAGAGAAGATTGAATGGCATAGACTCGTATGGTTTCAATACCATATTCCAAAGCACTCTATGATCTCTTGGATGGATATATTAAATAGACTTCCAACAAAAGACAGGTTGACAACGTGGGAAATGAGGTGGATGACAAATGTTGCCTATGCGAGAGAGAGGATGAAACCAGGGAACATTTGTTCTTTGGATGTGATTATTCGAAAAAGATTTGATAGAAGATATTATGGATGTGCAGGATCTATAGGGGAGTGAAGAACTGGTCAGAAGAGTTAAGATGGGCAGTGAGCAAGTTGAAGGGGAAAGCTTTTGATCTCCATCATATTGCGACTAGCCTGGAATGCCAGTATTATCAGATATGGAAAGAAAGGAACAACAGGATGTTTCAACATAAAGAAGAGACAACTACACAGGTCCTTGAACACATAAAAGATGCTGTCAGACTCCGATTACATAGATTAAGTCGGATTGCCGCGGATCCAGTAAATAAAATTATGTGTGATATGTGGAATCTTAATGTTGCTATGACAGAGTAGGCTGCAATTAGAGATGCATATATTGATGGCTGTGAAAAACAGTTGAATTGTTGTATTGTAGCATAATTCTGCTGGCTTTAAATAAAATACAAATTATTCAAAAAAAAAAAAAGGTTTGGTCTCCAAAAGTTTTCAAATCAAAGTCTGCTCAAGAGTAATTGGGCCGTAAAAGGTGATTTTGGGGTCGATCATGACACACGAATTTCTTTTTCTTTTCACTTTCTCTCCTTCCATTTTTTTAAGCCCAAACTCACTCAACCGAAAGCCCAAAACCCAAAGCCGATTGGCACTTGACCCCTAAAAACCCTAGAGCAGGAATCAATATATTTGTTAGATTGTTGGTTTTATAGACGGCCAGCAGCAGAGCAAAGTGTTTACAGTGGAAATGGCGGCGAAACGGAAGACCCCTGTTAAGACCCGAAACCCAGATCTGATACGTGGTGTGGGCAAGTATTCCAGGTCTAAGATGTACCACAAGCGTGGCCTTTGGGCAATCAAGGCCAAAAACGGCGGCGTTTTTCCCCGCCATGACCCTAAGTCCAAGGCCCCAGCTGCCGCCGAGAAGGCTCCCAAGTTCTACCCGGCTGATGATGTCAAGAAGCCGCTTCCTAATAAGCGCAAGCCTAAACCCACCAAGCTCAGGTGTTTTTTTTTTTTTTAAATATGATTATTTGTTTATTTGTAGATCTCTTACGATATGTTTCTTATTGTTGGATTTTTTTTTTATTTGTTTAGGGCGAGCATTACACCAGGGACGGTGTTGATTTTGTTGGCTGGGAGGTTTATGGGGAAGAGAGTTGTTTTCTTGAAGCAACTTACTTCTGGGCTTCTTTTGGTTACTGGTTAGTTTTCTTTTTCCTCAATTTTATTTCATAGTAATTTTGTTTTTTTAAAACATTTTTTGAAACATATTTTGCTTCTGTCCCTTATTTGTTATTGATCCTGTTCTTTTTTGCTGAATATTTATTTGGAAATTTTCTTGATGAAATGAAATCGGTCACTGCTAGTGTAATTTTAAAGTAAGAGTTTTGTAATTCGAATACCAACTGGAGGTATGACAATGATGTTACATCCTTTGTTATTGATTTCTCCAGTATTGCTTCCGTAGTGTCAATGTGTAGTATGGATGCTTAAACTCATTTTGTCTTGTTTTTCAAGAAGCACAGTGTTTTATTTCTATTTCAGTGCTGCTTCTGCTTATAGGCTAGATGCTCTCATAACACAACCCATCTAACATTCAAATATTCTGGAGATTTAATGCTGCTATCATGAAATCATAACCTGGGATTTACTTTATGCTTTTACTGTGGACATTCAATTATTTTCGTTTGTGGACACAGGTTATTATTATTTGTTGGCTGTTCATCATAAACTAGTGGTTCTCATTTTATGTTGAATTTCTTTCATGGTTCAGTCTTGTGTTTTGCTTAAATTTGAGAATTACCTCTCGTTGCAGGACCATTCAAGATTAATGGTGTTCCTCTAAGGCGTGTGAACCAATCCTATGTCATTGCTACTTCCACCAAGGTTGACATCTCAGGAGTAAACGTAGAGAAGTTTGTTGACAAGTACTTTGCCAAGGAAGTACAAAAGAAGAAGAAGAAGGGAGAGGGAGAGTTTTTTGAGGCTGAAAAAGAGGTTAGTTGTTTTGCATTTATTATAATTTAAGCTGTTCTAATCTGGATAATCTAATTTGATTTGCTGCTTTTCTATTCTTTTACTTTTGCTCAAAAAATTGTAGGATAAGAAGAAATTGCCAGAAGACAAGAAAGAAGACCAGAAAGCTGTCGATGGGTCTTTAATAAAGTCCATTGAGGGAGTCCCAGACTTGAAGGCCTACCTAGCTGCACGATTTTCTCTGAAGTCTGGCATGAAACCTCATGAACTTGTCTTCTAGTGGGAATTTGCATGTAGCTAAAAGCTTTACTTTGTTATGCTTTTGGTTTAAAGAGTGTCAGTGGTTGTTTTATCGGATGCTATATGGGAAATCCTGAATTTTGGGATACTATCTTTTGCCATGCAAGAGTCTCAAATTTCCTTATTTCATTGTGTTTTGTGCTAATCTCAATGGAGCTTGTTCTTTTTTGTTGTGTATTTTTATTTGATTGTTTTGATACCTTTTAGTTATGGAGTAGCTGGTAGGTTTTTAGTTCGTGGTCAACTGAGTTAACATTGATTCTTGGCCTTCATATGTGTTGAATTGGTACTTGTCACTGATTTAACAATGTATATGAAGATATGTGCTAGTTACGGGTCCTCTCAGCACTATGCTGATATGAAAAACGTATAAGTAGAAATAACTGTCTTTTTTTTTTTTTTTTTTTCATATCATTAATGCTTGTGTTTGAAGTTATTAAGACGCTGTTTTCTGATTGTGAGATATGATGCTTGATGCAAGTGTTTGTTGATTGTTCGAAAACTGTAATCATAGCAGTAAGGTCAAGCTCATTGGCGCCGACATAATTTGCACTAAATAGACAAAGTGGTCAAACAGACGCATGGTTTTGTCGGTATTGGTCTATACAGCTTGAGAATAAAATTGAATTGGAGGTGAAACTAAGGGGTCTTTTGATATTATTGTATTTATGTGTTTTATGTTTTTGAAATTTTTGTTTTGTTTTATTTTTAATTTATTGAATTTGAAAATAAAATGTTTTTGTTTTAGAAATGTGAAAATAAAAATATATAAGAGAAATTAGATAAAGCTTTAGGTTTCATTGTTAATAATAATAATAATAATAATAATAATATTATTATATTATTTATTTATTAATGTATTAATATATTATTTATTAACATATTATTTAAAAGTATAATATTAATAAATAATATATTATTTTAATAATATATTGTTAATATAATATATTAATATATTAATAATATAAGATATTATTTTAATTTAATAATAAATATTTATATAATAAAAATATTATTTTATTCATATAATAATTGTAATGTCACTGTACTCGTTTAATTGTAATTTTTGTAAACAGTACCTGTGTGGTAATAGTATCAAATTGTTTTCAAAAAATTAAAAACATCAATTTTCTATTTTCAATAATTTTCAAAATTTTTTTTAAAAAAAGTTTTTGTTTTCAAAAACAAAAATAACCTAACAAACATGTTTTTATTTTCAATTAAAAAAAAAACCAAAACAGAAAATAGAAAAATGAAATAAAAAACAAACGACCCCTAAATTTTCATAGCATGTCATCAGCTCGAGAGGGCTATCTCCTGAGGAAATTGCTTGGTACAGAAGATAGCTTGCTTCGGAATCTGGGATGGCTTAGACAGAATAAGCCTGCAACCAAAGCCATGATCTTAAATGGTGTAACATATGGTGCCACTGTTGTAATTAGGCGGAATAGTAAGAAGAGGCTGGTTAGTCTAAGGTCTCTCCAACTCAGTAGAGCCAGAAATCTCTCTCCCTGAGTTTATATGTCTCCTACCAGTCTGAATTCTTCCTGTTACACTTCTAAGCCTGTCATATCTCATCTGCGCTACATCTTGAACCTTGGATGTTGAGAAAATATCGAATTCTTAATCCAGTTCCTCTGGGTGAACTACTTCTGCACATGAAAGCTTGGTGTCCATGTGAGGAGGATGCCTCGGCCGAAACCGATAATTCCAAATCCGAATAAGAAACATGTATTAGAAGACGGTTGGCAAGATTAATTCTGGATAGCAAATCAATATGAAAAATAGAACATGTACTGGAATCGTAGTGTCAGGATTCTTCCGATGACAAACCTCAGCAAGCCACTTGCTCATAGTTATCACACCCGAAAACAACGAGACAATTTTGAAGAAGTTAGCTTTGCTTCTTCCAATGCTTCACATGTGGGAATCCACATCCAACATGTACTTCACAACCTTTTTCCTCATGGTGGCTCACCTGGACCAAGCCCACTCTCACAATGTTCTTGGCCTTATATGTCAGGCTATCCAATTGGTTTACAGTGAATGGATGCAAATAATGCATTTTTGGCAGTAAGGGATGCCAATATAGGTAAATCATATTTGCAAAAGAGAGGCATGTGAACCTTACTGCTAAGTGAAACTCCTCTATCTTCTTCAATCCAGATGTTTGTAGAACAAGAAGAGGGTAAGAGTTTGTATAAATTTTATCTGTTTCCAGGGTTGATAGTCGAATTCTTACCTTCCCCATTCTGGAATCATTTAACCTCTAATGCCTGAAGCTGGTTTTTGGCTTCCACTAAGGTGGCAGTTGTCAAAACCTCCCAATGTGATCACCTTGCAAGGGGTCATAGACCTTCCAAGTATATTGCTCATTCCCTTTAGGATTGACGCTTTCGATTATAGTTCTCGTGCGCACCCACTTCTGCCCATATTTAGCCACACAGTAAGCATTTGTTGTTTCCCTGCCCTCTTTGATCTTCATCGATTGAAGACCTTGAGCACTCAAGATGCCCACTTCCAGGATCCCAATTGGCTTCTTCCAAACTTGCCTGGCAGTTGGCCTCTGGTCACTTGTATACATGGTTGATTCATCCAGCACATGGTAAGCTCCTTCAAGACAGACTCTAAGGTGTATCCTGCTTGAAAATTTGAGTTCGTGCCTCTTGTCTCCTTCCAGAGAACCAAATCCAAAATTTTCAAGGTTGAGCCATTTAGAATGAATTGGTCGATGATCCAAACGGCTTTCAAAGATGTGGAGGGGCAAGATTATCCTCCCCATGACTTTATCTTTTGCTGAGGTCACTTTATTTTAACTGTTAGGTATAGTTGCTTCTCAAAAGGTTCAGTTGCTACGAGTACCAAATCTTCATTCCACATGGTATTTGTCGTCTTCTCGGGACAAAGCTTGGTTTTGAGTATTTTGTTTCCAACTTCAGCCTTAACAAAAGCCTGTGGTAATTGGCTTCTGCCATGTGGCTCCACATCCTGAGCTTCAATATGTTCACTCTAAGGGACCACAGTTTTGGAGAGATATAAACCTTTGATCAGATATTGGAAACACCCTCTCCTTGAACTGAAGCAGCATCTGTGTGCCAGGCTTTTGGAAAAGCTTCATCGACTTGTGTTCCCATCCAGACCACAAGTATAACTTCTCCTTTGACCTTGCTATCCCCTCTACGGTCTTCTAATCTATACCATTATGGTGCCAAAGGGCCATCAGTGGAACGCTTGTAGGCACTTCATTCAATTCGAAGATCACTATTTCTATATAATCATCTCTGCCAGCCATCTCTTTGTCTCTGACAAAAACCTCTAGAATTGAAGACTGCATCTTCTCATTCGAGAATGCAAAGACTTGGTTCCATTCTGGGTTTGTTTTCTTCTCAAAATGCTTTGTTTTTCCTTTATAATTCCCCAGCTTCACTTCAATATAAGGATCAATGTTTCCAATAATAGGATTAGTGGGCAGATTTTTGGCTTTACTAACCTTGACATCCAGATAAAACAATGTTCAACAAGATCATAAGTGCTTGTTGCTTTTGTTGGTAGTTTAAAATGTAATACATTACATATTGGATAGAAAGAGTTAATTATTGATGAATAAAATTAATTTTTGTATTAATTTTATTCATATTTTAAATAATTATGTTTGAGCAAAAATAATTATCATATGACAAATAATCATAACTATTTGAATATAAATAGATTATTCATCATAAATATTATAATTATACAAAAGATCATAACCATCTGAATAAAAATTTATGTCTGTTCATTTATTATAAATAAATTTTTTAATATAATTATTTTCAGTACTTTTGATTGAAGAGTTTGGGGTTTTTTTATATCCTAAATACATAATTGCTTTCAAAAAAGTGTTTTTTGTGCCTCAAAGCCATTTTTTTTATTATTTCTCTTCTTTTATTTATTTTTTCTAACAATTTAAAGGTAATTATGAGAAATTTATATTTTGCATGAGGAAGATACAAGGAAAAGAATTTGACATGATTTGGAGATCAATATTAGAAAGGCTTAAGGTGTCAAATGATTAATGTTTCTATGGACCAAAATGTTAATTTTCATAAAGATTTTTGTTAGTGATATGTATTTTATTTTTTGTATAATTGCTGGAAAAAGATTGACTGAATGAGATAAACACATAAATAATTTATTTTATTAGTGTGTAAAATCTAAACACAATATGTAAAATATTGATTACATTGAATAAGTTTATGCATATATTGAAATTGACTCTACAATTGGGTTTAATGAATTGTATTATATTTATTTGAAAAATCGATACTTATAAAGACTAAGATGGAAAATAGCCTGAAAACATAAAAGAGAAAGACATGATTGATTTATGATAAAAAAATTATCACTTGTTATCAAGTAACGAATTAAATTAGTTCTAATGAAATGACCGATTGTTTAATTGTCATATCTTGATTATATATAGAATATGATGAATTGTTTAATTGTCATATCTTGGTTATATATAGAATAGGTAAATTATCCCATGATTTCTATGAAAACAATAAAAAATGGGTAAAAGAATTTACCATGAGAAATTAGATATAAGTATAGAATACATACAGAAAATACGATTAGCTTTATTGTTAAATCGTGGCACCAAAATTGAGATAATAAGTTGAGTCAAGTTATTTATATTGTTTTATCTTTGTTGGTCGTTTGTAAATCAAATGTTGATATATATATATATTAACTTTATTATTGTTTCAAATTTTGACTAATGTTCAATTTTCATGAAAATCAATTAAAATTAAATTGATACATGTGAATAATTATTATTAATATATAGTGTTTCATGGATTAATTGGTGGATAATAAACCAAATAATGATTATTATAAAAAACATAGGTGGTGTGACAAGTATTTTGCCTGTTGGATGTATTACACTAGAAGTGATTTTATAAAATAAAATTTTATTGTGAACAATCACAAAGTGAAAATCATAAAAAGTCATCAAAGAGCTAATCATTAGTTACAAAAAGTATTGTTGCTTTTCACATATGAGATATTGATTAAAAGAAAAGGCATGTCATTAAAAAATATTGAAGCATTTGTTGGTTACTAACATTTTGAAGGATGCTTATCAATGTCTAATTAGGCATGTTTATAAACCAGAAAAGAACATGCAAATTCAATATTCCAAAGGCACCAATATATGCATGTGTTTAATTTTATTTTGTGATGGCATGGAGAATATTGGTATAGTTGGCCATATATCACGAAAATGAATGGAATAGGATTGAATTTTCTTTCTTATACATATAAGAAAGATATGGACTGTGGAGATAGAATGCCATCATCTAATTAATACATTATTGGTTAAAGACAATAAAGATATTTTTACTTCTCATACAAAAAAAAAAATGGCCTTT